CCTAATAACTTGCCAAGGCAGTTCTGACGTCTTCATCTCATTTACCATACATCACCACTGTGACTAAGCTTCAAGTTACCTCACAAAATTGTTGGTTCTTGCTGACATAGAGAAAACCTATAGCTTTTCTCATGAATAAGTAATTTTCTCCTGTAGTAAGCACTATACTTTCCACTCCATCTATGCTGAGATTTAACGCTAGTTCTTGGTGAAGAGGAAATTTAGAGAGGTGAAAGCAGATCTTAAGACAACAAAAGCATCATGTTTGTGAGGTGCTCAGAGACAGAAGCTATCAGCATGATGGAAATGGTCAATCACAGCTGCAGAGGAGCTCAGACACGGGTCAAAGGAAAATGGAGCAGGTTATCAACAGTATTGCTTCAAAGTCATAATGAAAGAAGAGGGTGGTATTAAAAAAAAGAGGATTTTAATAGAATCCAAATCTTTACATACATACAAATACATGTAAATCTTTACATACACATACAAATCTTTCCGGGAAATTCCACCAAGCAACCAGAATTGAGAACCATTGTCCTAAATTATTGGATTTCAAAATTCACGGAGAAAATAGAAGTCACAAGACAGGAATAGCTTCATCGTCCTGCCATCTCAGGAATCTTCTTAAAATGAAGTGACCCTGCTTCTATCAGATGGCATCTCCTGCATGTGTCTCTGAATTTCCATCTGTTTCCCCTTTGCAAGAACCTGACTCTTGCAATTATCCCCATTTCCTTGACTCTCAGCAGTGCACCCTTGTCTCTGGACTACTCTTCTCTCTTGATTCGAAGGGATCATATTTGCCTCGCTCTCCTCTTCCCTCTGACTATTTTCTCCTGGCTCTTTGGCCTCTCCTCCTCCACCTGACATCTAAATAGTGGAAGCCCAGGAACTCTTTTCTGCTCTCTTCACTGTCTCCCTAAGTAATCTCATCCAGTCCCACTTCTCTTCATTTCCATTTCTACTATCAAATTCCAAGACACTGCTATCTCGCTTTGATGTCTGCAAGAGCCTCCAACCCAGTCTTTCTGTTTGTACTATTCCTACACATCACCCAGCTTAAAAAACATAAGCAGATCTCACAGCCTAAAAATTGCCCAGTGGTTTCCTGCTTGAAATCCTTATGATTGCTGAGAGGCTCTTTCAGGTATGGCCCCCATCTACTTCTCCATCCTCATCTCTTGCCACAGTCCTCCACTAACCCTCCCACCTAGGTCCCAATTGCTATGTAGTTCCTTTATAGTACTTTTATCTTTTAGCTGAACTTATCATTTTTATCTGAATTTATTTATTCATTTACTTGTTTTTTGTCTATTTTGTCCTTATTGTTTATGGTCTGTTTTGTCCTTGTCTAATGCCTACCTCATCATTTTATCCCCTAAACTATTCCCTCCTCCTTTTACTACTCCCATCTATGATGTTATTTTATTTTATTTTATTTTTTTTAGTTTCTAAGATATGAACCTATAGATTTTTTTGACTTCTGTTTTCCTCACCATCCTATTTCCAAAACATTAGCACAAATTGGTGGTAATGCTCCTCACTTTGGCTCTTCCTTTTTTTCTATACTATTGTTACCCTAGTCCAGTGAGTGTGGGTCATTTTGGGGACACAGACCACATTGAGAGTGCTGTGAAGGTCGTGGCGCAGACGGGAAATCACTTACTAGTAACTCAGCAAGTTACTTAATTCTCTGTGCCTTAGTTTCATCATCTACAAAATGGAAAGAAAAATGGTATAAACCTGGAGCAGATGCTTTTTATGCCCCTTTGCTCACTTTCAAATTGGCTCAGCCATGGAGGAAAGCTCTGGGCACACTGTCATCATCCCACCTCAAGTGAGCTGAAGTGTGACCGCTCTACTCTTCTGCCTCAGGGCATTCTCCAACAGCCTGGGAATATCTGCCAATTCATATCCCTGGCAACAACCCTCACTCAATGGTGGATGACAGTCAGTGGTAAGTGTCCTAGCCTTCTGTCCTTTTGAAGATGCTATGTTGTCTGGGGTGTATACCCTGGGGTTCATTGATGTGCACCAGAAAAATTTAGGACCTGGGCACACACGAGGAGTTTAGGAGCATACGTTTAACAGGCAGAAGAGAAGAGAAAGAGGTCTCTTCTTTATATAGAGAAAGGGGTCTCCCTGCGGAAAAGACTGGCTGGTGGCAAATGTGCCGAATTTTCTAGTCCAGTTTGAGGAGGCGGTGTCTGATTTACATAGGGCTCATAGATTGGTTCGACCAGCTATGATGTTTACATAGCACACGGGGAAGGCCGGTCACTCCACCCTAATCTTATTATGCAAATGGACTTTCCAGTTGATCAGTGCCATCTTGTCTGCTCCTTGCAGTACATGTGGCTGGCAGAGACGGGAAGATGGAGGTGCCATTTGAACATGTCTAGTCCTTAGTTCCTGCCAGCATTCATTCATGCAGGCTCCCAGCTTGCAGGCTGCTCTTTGTTAGAAAATGATTTGGGGCTGCTTTTCATTAAAAAGAAAAGCCTTACTGAGGACTCCCATACCCTTACAATCTGTCTAAGTAATTTCTTCTTAACTCCTGTATCACTTTGTGAGGCTAATTCTGGGGTATATCCTATTTTTTTCAGAGGGTCTCCAACAGGATAAAGAGCCAGCTATTGTCTATATCAAAACCAGTTTAATATCAGTCCTCCTTCCTTGTCTCACTCTCTCTGCCTTTATTCCTGCATCCAGGGATCACCTCCCAAATAAACTACTTGCACCCAAGCCTTTGTCACAGGCTCTGCTTTGAGGGGAATCCTAAGTAGGCAGTGATTTTATCAGTTGGGGTCCTACCACGCAAAAGATGACCCATTTAAGTTGGAAAACTAAAAAGAATTTAGTAAGGGGAGTATTTCTGAACATGAGGTAGGGTTAGGGAAATGAAACATGGTGTAGAACCCCAGGACTAGTAATGGTGGGGAGCACTTACCACTCCTAAGTCTGAAGTGGCAAAGGCAATAAGTAGTTACTAGACTCAGAAGAAAGAATTGAGGAGAGCTGCTGAACTAGAGCTGTGGCCTTCAGTAAAGGGACCAGCATCAGGACTCAAGTGAGACAAGCATTCTCAGGTTGGTGTCAGTGTCAGCCTGAGAGTGACTGCCTCCTTAAATCTGGTGTCCTAGGCCTCTGCTTGCCTCACCCTAGTCCCAGCACAGCATCTCATGGAGTTATGATTAGATGAATTACGATATAAAAGGCATAGAGAGGTAGCTAGAACATGCTATTGTTGATATTGTTACTACCATTATTGTCTACATGATGCAAAAGTTTGAATACATTATGAAGCACACTTATAGGCTGGGCTTATTGACTAAGAACCTCTGCACTGATTAAGACCTTTTCATTGTGTGGTGAACATTCGCCAAACAGCCTTCAAACTTTATCGCTCTCTTACTAATTCAGTTCTTGCCAACCTTTCACATCATGGCATCCATAGAAAATGGTGATATTTGTACAACACTAGAGTGAAGATGATGGTCCCCTCAACCTGAGGCAACTGCCCCAAGGTCACTGCTTCCTCCAAAGGCTGCGGGGTCGGTCTCCGGCCCACCCATGCCAGGTGGGAAGCTCTGCTCAAATCCATTATCCATCCTGCACAGTAACACCAATTTAGTTTTCCTAAAACAATACTTCTAGAATGTCCTTTGCCTCTAATAACAATGACAAAAATCCAGAATTCTTGGTCTGATACTCAAGATCAAGACATGGAGTTGGAAGAGACCACAGGAATCATGAAATTTCTCCCCTTTATTTTACAGACTCACAAAGAAAGGCCCAGTAAAGTTTAATAACCTATTCAAAGCAACATTCCAATCTTTCTGCCAAGGAACTATTATTTACCCTACCCATTTTTGCCCACAGACATCCATTGTCAAGTGCTACCTCCCAGTTCACCCCACTGGGAAATGAATGTTTCCTCCTTTAAACTCTGATAATACTCATTCAGATACTGAACAGTAAGAGGGAGCAGAAAAAGACCTAATAGTTATTTCAGCATGAGCTTCCCTGTGTTAGATGATATGATCAGACACTGGAGAGTATGGTTTAACAATACACTGGTTTATAAACCAGGGTGCCTATTCACTAATAACCAATTCACTAATAACAAACAGAACAGAAATGAATGCTACAACTTAGGTTGGCTATTCAATATAATCTGGGGTCAGTAAACTTATTTCTGTAAAGTTAGAGCAAATACATGAGGGAATAAATAATAAATAGTACATATATGAGGGCTACAGTCTCTGCTGCATATCTTTCTTTACCCTTTTTTTTTTTTTTTTTTTTGGTTGTTCTGTTTCTTCCAATGCTTTAAAAATGTAAAAAATGGCTGAACACAGTGGCTTAGGCCTCTAGTACCAACACTTTGGGAGGCTGGAGTGGGAGGACTGCTTGAAGCCAGGTGTTTAAGACCAGCCTGGGCAGCAAAACGAAACAACGTCTCTACAAAAAAACCCAAAAAGAACAACAAAATAACCAAGCATGGTGGCACGTGCCTGTAGTCCCAGCTACTCAGGAGGCTGAGGCGAGGTGGAATATAATGTAAGACCATTCATAGTTCATGGTACTAAACAGGCATCAGTGCCCATTGATGCATAAACGTTCCATAATTTAGTATTGCCAGACTTCTTTTTTAATTTTTTATTTATTTATTTATTTATTTTTGAGATGGAGTTCCGCTTTTGTCAGCCAGGCTGGAGTGCAATGGCACCATCTCGGCTCACTGCAACCTCCTCTTCTCGGGTTTAAGCGATTCTCCTGCCTCAGACTCTCAAGTAGCTGGGATTACAGGCGCCCGCCACCACGCCCGGCTAATTTTTGTATTTTCAATAGAGATGGGTTTCGCCATTTTGGCCAGGCTGGTCTGGAACTCCTGACCTCAGGTGATCCACCCACCTAGGCCTCCCAAAGTGTTGGAATTATAGGCGTGAGCCACCGCGCCCCCGGCCCATACTTCTTAATTTTGTGATTTATTGCCTGAAAAACCGTCTCGCTGTGGTGTTTTTTGTATTTCCCAGATTAATAACCAGACTGAACATATTTTCATATTTATTAGCCATAGCACTTCCTCCTCCACACTGGCATTTCTTACCTTTCTTTTTCAATAATCTATTAATCACGAAAATCTCCTGTCATCTACACTTCTTCACAAAAGTCACATTGTTTTTGATCTTTATAGATTATTTTACATTTGCCATATTTATACATAATATCTTCCCTTTTGGGGCATTTAGAGTGTGCTGACAAAGTCTAGGCAGCAATGCATTTATAAAACACCTATGAGTTGGGTGCACACGGGGTAATTTTCCACATATGGCTGATCCCGTCCTCATCAGATTAAGGTTCCCTGTCTTGTCATTTCTGAAGATGTATCCTATTAGAAGCCTGGCCCTTTATTCTTACACATTACACTTCCACTACTGTAGGGGGACATCTGAATGGACTCATCTTACTATTCCATGCATAGTACCAAGCACGTTGCGTGCTTTTAATACATTTTGTATAATATTTACCTCTGTGTTTGACGTCCTGAAAAATACCGTCCACAATTACTTCACAGGTAGCCCCAACACTTGGTGCCCAGCGCGTTTTCCTAGTTCCTCCCTGCCACTTCACGTTGGGAATGGGACAAGAGGCACTGTGGGTCTCTTACCTAAAGTTACGAAGCAACGGGCTCCCTTATTACTTCGTTTCCCAAATAGGGGGTGGGATACACAACCGAGGGAGTACGGGCAAAACAACTTTCAGGTCTTTGGCCACTTGCGTCTTACTGTGGGCGAGCCTTTCCAGTCCAATTACATTTTCTTTACCATATTGCATAAATAGCAGAACTACATTTACTACAAAGGCCAGACATTCATGGTCATGGATCCTTGTGCATGTTATTCTAAGAGCAAATTGTAAAAACACACAAACTCTGAAACACTGACGCAAAAGCGAAAACACACGCACGTGTTTGTGTCTTCTCCCGCGACCCAAGTTCTTTGAAACTGAGCGGAGAAAAATCGTCTTCGCATCGCGTCTCACACTTTCGACACAATCTTATCGGGAACTAGAACACCTAAACAAAAATTTTTTAAATACATTTTTCAAAAATGATGACAATTCCTTTCGTCTTATGTTCCTTTTTGTCTCTAAGCTTTGGAGAGATTTATTTTGCGTTTCCAAACTGCTTCTGCCTGTCGGCGCCTGTGTGGAAACTGCGACGAGTCTGGAAGTAGCTGCCGGAGAGGCGGGGCGGAGGTGTGACGTCATCGCCGCGGGGCGGAGGCGACAGTGTCTAGCCGGGGCTCCGCGTGTAGCTACGCCGACAGAACTGGCTTTGAGACAGCGTGATTCTCCGCAGCTGGCCGCCTCCCCGTGGTGTTCAGCCCACGTCGAGTCCTGAGCTGAGATGGCAGACGATCTCGGAGACGAGTGGTGGGAGAACCAGCCAACTGGAGCAGACAGCAGCTCAGGTACCCACTCTGTGTCCGCGCTTCTACGGGGCCTCTCCCGGAGCCCTTTCGTGCGCCTCAGCCCTGATCGCTTCTGGCGGTCGCGGTGTCAGCCCGACAGGGGCGCGCACAGCCGTGGGAGCGCGCAAGCATCTCGGGGAAAGTGGTGCAAGAGACTTTTTAACACGTGAAACAGACAACGTGATATTAACTCAGATCTGTCTGCCAGCCAGGAAGGATCCTTTTCCAAGCTTTCTCTTTTCATTATTTCTTGAGAATGGATAAGACAGTTTTTGTGACGAGAAGCAACTTTGTGTGATGGGTAAGGGTGACCCATGAACTGCTTCAATTCAGGGTTACCCTTCAGACTGAGGTCAGAAGCAGGGGTTACTGCTTCAGACTGCTTCCATTCAAATCACGACTGCAGTATTCTGATACTGTTTAGCCTCCTTTTTCTCATGTGTAAAATAATGACAACAATAATGTCCACTTCATAAAGTTGTGAAGATTAAGTGAAGATAGTACAGTAATGCACTTTAGCACGGTGCTTGACATATAATAGATGTGCGGTAAATATAAATTACTGTATTTCTTGTGGTCATGATCCTTATCATATAATTTGGAATATTAGAACTGGAAGGAGGCTTAAATAGAGATCATCCTTTGAACTCACTTATTTTACAGATGAGAAACGTAACCTAAAGATGTCAAGTAACTTGACAAGTTCACAAAGCTAACTCCTTTGAGAAACAATACTAGAATTCAATTAACACAATTTGAATAGTTTCTGCTATGCTTTGCTATGTTTACCAACTCCTGATGGGCATTTTATCCCCAAGTAGAGTAGCATTAAGTAACCCCCCATGTCAGGCTGGCCTTGAACTTTTTAAGTTCCATCACACCTACCATGCAATTATTGGTTGGTTGGTTGGTTTTTATCACTCCTTAAGGTCTGTCTCTCTTCTCTACAAGAGGAGACAGGTCCAAAGTTGGATTCATACTTCTGTCATCCACAGGGCCCTGCACGTTAGACACTTGATACCTATTTGCTGCAAACAGTCTTGAAATACTAGTTGTGAAATATCCATTAAAAATAACCAACTTTAGTTGTTGCATTGTTTCCAGAAGTTCAAGCCTTCAGGTACAAACTAAGCAGATGTCATTTTTAGAAAGGTAGCCAATACAATATTTCCTTGATTAAACTTCCTGACTCTTTTGCAGCCCTGTGGTGTTCCACATTTACTTTAATAACTACCCCTCCCAACTCAGGTGTTAAAAAGCTCTATTTTATGATATGACTGAAGATGAATAGTGGCCATTTAAGAAATAGTTGAATTCTGTTTGAGTGGTAAAGGGGATCTCAATTCTTGGTTCTAGTCCTCACTAGCTGTGTGACTTTCAAGTTATTCATCCCTTGGAAGAAAGGCAATCAACATGTTTTGAGTATCTATTATGTGACAGATGTCTTCATAAATATGAATTGATTTAGCCTTCATAACATCCCTAAAAGTTAAGTATTCTCTTCGTTTGTATAGGTGGAGAAACAGAAAAAAGTTAAGGCGTGTTCTTAGGAACACACATTGAAGAAGAGGTCTGGGAATAGTTAAGTGTGATTGATTTTGAAAGTCATACTTTTCCCATTACTACTATGTGACTTCTCTGGGCTTTTGTATCATAATCTGTAAAGAGCCCTTAAAGATCATCTTTTTTAGGGTTTTACTAACCAACAGTTTTAAACACTGAATCTAGTAAAACTTCAAATTGCTACAGCCTCCTTCATCTAAGTTGCCAGAATTCCCATGAAGACAATGTGTTGGAGTGCCTAAGATTACTCTACTTCTTAAATTCCTTCTAGCCATAAGACTAAGCTTTTTTTTTTTTTGTGAAACACAGTCTCGCTCTTGTCCCCCAGGCTGGAGTGCAATGGCGCGATCTCAGCTCACTGCAACCTCCACCTCCCGGGTTCACGCAATTCTCCTGCCTCAGCCTCCCGAGTAGCTGGGATTACAGGAGTCTGCCATCACGCCTGGCTAATTTTTGTGTTTTTAGTAGAGACGGGGTTTCACCACGTTGGCCAGGCTGGTCTCAAACTCCTGACCTGAAGTGATCTGCCCGCATTGGCCTCCCAGAGTGCTGGGGTTACAGGTGTGAACCACCGCACCCGGCCAAGAGTAAGCTTTGAAAATTGCTGACATTAAATTTATCAGAGGCCTTTGCTTTGTTCGCTGCTCCTAAGCAAAGTAAGTATATGCATTTGTTTGAAATCTCCTTGAGTATTCACTGGCAATTTGCCTAACTGTAATCTGTACACTGTTTCTAATTCAAAAGGAATCACAGCTGAGCCATTTCAGATTTCCTGATTCTTCTTATGTTGATGGGATCTAGCCTTGATCCTAGAGCACAAGGCTTACTTACCTGGCTGCCTTCTTGAAGTCTTAAGTTATTTGACAGGGATGTCAGATGTATTCAATTGTTATTTCAGCCTAAAATATGTGAATTATGTTTTGTTTTGAAAGTCGAAGGAGAAATAATATGTTAAATCACAGAAAGGAAAGATAGTTGTATTGGTGCTTTTATTCCTATTGTGGATTATGCTACTTGCCTATAAAAAAAAACATCTTTCGCTATCACGTGTTCCCACTTCACATCCATGGTAGCAAGGCAGTGGAACATTTCAGTCACTTACAAATACTTGTTGGTTATACATGGTTTATAACATCTAATATAGCTGTCTGTTTGTTGTCTGTCTAAGGAACTGTACTATTTTTTGGCTGTTCTCTCGTCTTCTTAGATGTGGTATGTAACACAAAGTTTTTATGGCTCTTTAAAACCTGTCATTTTTGTGCTAGAGTCCTGCATTGCACTGGAGCTCACCATGGGTCCTGGCACTTAATTGGTGTTTGGTGGATGTTAGCAGAATAAATGTGTGTGTGTATGCATGTTACCTGCTACAGAGTATGTAGGTAGACATATAATTTCTCATCCAATCTAGAAACTTTTGTGAGTGGAAGGCTATGAATTTAGAATTTTGCAGGGACTCTCCTGGTCCTTAGGGGATGTCTAGTCACTCCATTGGTGACAACTGGAGTCATGACCCAACATAAGGCAGCTGGGAGTCGCAGTGCTGAGTGTGCAGCCCAGGATGCCTTAGGCATAAGATCCCAGGAATCATCTAATGACATCTTATATTTGATTTATTTCCTTATTCCCTGTAAACCTTCAGAAACTGTTTGAAGTGACTTATAGTAAGTAATACATTCAGTAGAATAATGATTTGAAAATATTAATGCTGAAATGAGTAGATACAATGCCTGAGATTTTAATGTAGTTGACCAGTCTGGGTACTTTCTCAGTGTGAAGGTGAAAACTGAGAGAATGTCAATTATAGCATGGATTTTGTGACTTATGGAAGGGAGTCGAGAGATTCTGCAGTTCAAAATGTCACTTGAGGGCCCGTCATCCCAGCACTTTGGGAGGCCCAGGCGGGCAGATCACCTGAGTCCAGGAATTCGAGACCAACCTGGCCAACATGGAGAAAACCTGTCTCTACTAAAAAGACAAAAATTAGCCAGGTGTGGTAGTAGGCACTTGTAGTCCCAGCTACTCAGGAGGCTGAGGCAGGAGAATCACTTGAACCCAGGAGGCAGAGCTTGCAGCAAGCCAAGATCGCACCACTGCACTCCAGCCTGTGCTACAGAGTGACACTCTGTCTCAAAAAAAAAAAAAAGAAAGAAAAGAAAAAAGAAAATGTTACTCGATCATCTACTTACAGAAGATGAAGAGAATACTGATTGCTTTCCCTTTTTATTTCAATGATATACCTATTAAATTACCAAGTCGAGTACCCAGTAGGCAGCCAAGTATGTGAGTCTGGAGCTCCAGGGCCAGATCCAGGCTGAGATGCAGATTTAGGAATAACTGGCATACAGATAGCTTGTTTTTAAAGAGCATGTTCTTAGCAGTCTGTAACATTGAGCCTCCATGTCTTTTAAGGAGGGTCTTTCATATGCTTCCCCAATTCATTCTGAATCTTTGATGCCATCTCTTCCCAAGCATCTAACTAGAAAACTGAAGTGTTAAGACACTTCTGTGTACAATGCCAGGAGACTGCAGGTGATAATACCAGCTTGCGGCCGGGCGCAGTGGCTCACACCTGTAATCCCTACACTTTGGGAGGCCGAGGCAGGTGGATCACCTGAGGTCAGGAGTTCAAGACAAGCCTGGCCAACGTGATGAAACCCTGTCTCTACTAAAAATGCAAAAAATTAGCTGGGCTTGGTGGCACGCTCCTGTAATCCCAGCTACTCAGGAGGCTGAGGCAGGAGAATTGCTTGAACCCAGGAGGCGGAGGTTGCAGTGAGCCGAGATCGTGCCACTGCACTCCAGCCTAGGCAATGACAGCAAAACTCCATCTCAAAATAATAATAATGATAATATACCAGCTGGCATTTGTTGAGCACTTACTACCTGCCAGATACTGTTTTCATTGTTTTACACGTTCTAGTTAATTTAATCTTCATAAGTACACCGGGGGTAGTTACTGTTGTTATCTTTGCTGATGAGGAAGTTGAGACACTGAGAAATTAAGTGATTTACCTAATACTATTTAATTTACTTTACCCAATACTATCTATTTAATTGGTAAATGGGGGAGCTGTGATTCATATGCAGGCAGTCTGAAACCAGAGCCTGTGTGCTTATATTTCGTATTCTAATTATCAGTGGTAAGAATCTCATCTCTAAAGGAATAATCTGTTGTCGGTTTAAAGAGACTCATAATTTAGAAACTCTTTTGTTTATATATCATTATCAAATTGTGTCTGTTAGTCTTCCAAAGTTTACTCTTTTAAAGAACACTGGTTACTTGGAGCTACAAATAAGCAGCTTTTCCATTTGGGCTTTGAGAACCATTTCTGCCAGTAACTCAAACCTGATCCTGGAGCTCAAGGCTTAACACATATGGCTGCCTTCTTTAAATCTTTAGTTATTTAATAGGGATGTCAAATGTAAACAAGACCCAG